CTCAGGCTCAGGGGGCAGTGGCGTGTCCAGATCTTTTAAAATGGGGTGGCCCAGGTGAGGTCCAACTTTGTGCATGGGTGGCACCAATGGTTAGGCTTTCTTGTTTTACCCCCAAGCCTTTTGTGGACAATGAAAAGCCTATTTAAAGATAAATTAGTGTGGTGGCACCTGGGGTGGCCAATCAGATTCCAAGGGTGGCATGTGCTACCCCAGGCCACTCCCTGGACACGCCCCTGTCAGGGGGAGAGAGTTCCAGAGTCTGGGGGCCACAGCAGCAGATGATCTGTCACCTTTGACCTTTAGCCTGGTGCTGCACAACCAGTAGGCTTTGATCACTGGACCTCAGGGACCTGCTGGGGGTGTAGGGACTAAGAAGATCACCAATGTAAGATGGTGCTTGTCCATGTAAGGCCCTATAGACCAGAACCAGGATCTTGAAATGAACCCTGAAGTTGACTGGCAGCCAGTGAAGCTGGAGGAGAAGTGGCTTCCTGTTTCTTTTCGTGAAATGTTATTGTGGTTTGGAAATACAAACCATACACTGAAAGCTGAGGTTGTTCTGAAAAAAGGAGAAGAGTTACACACACTTTGCACTTTTTATTACAATTTTACAGCCATAAGATTAAAAAAATACCAGGCAGCCCTGTTATAATTATGTTCATAAGAGGGTTATTAAGACGGCGATGCACAAACAGGAAGTGATTGGTAGTCATTCCACACCAATCCAGTTGGTGGCAGTAATGCACCAAATTGTTGTTTGCCAAGTCCCATAAGACCACAAATACTAATAAGAAGAGAGGCGGGAGTGGTCGTAACAAACTCAAAGTGATAGTCAAAACATTAAGCATGACATGGAGTTATCCTAGTGGCTCCAATAAGAGAAAGAAGCAGCTTGCTTCATAAAAGCTTTTATTTTCACCTCTGAAAGTGACGTTGTTTTTCGATGTAAACATCAAAAGGAAGCAGAAAGGAAAGACAATGGAAAATGTTTAAGGGAGGAAAACATAGACCAAAATGGAAAATAGAAAAAAAAAATAACTAAGGCTAAAGCACAGGAACACTGACAGGAAGAAGAAAGCAGAGCAAATATTGAAGGCACTCAAAGGGAGGGAAGTACAGGAAAAAAGAGGAGGACTAATAAAAAGGGAAAATAACTCGTGTCAGAAGAGGGGAGAGTTTCGCAAATCCAGATAAAGGTAAGATTGTCGAAAATTTAGTGTATGGGGCCCCATGTCTGTGTTCACCTTGGGCCCCCAAATTGCTAAATCCGGCCCATAGGCATCATTTTAACTGGGGACACCGGGGACATGTCCCCGGCAAAATTTGTGATTGGCAGCGGTGTCCCCCCCCACTTTCAAAAAAGCCTGCTGATGAGGATTTTTGTTTTACCAGCTCAGATCTTATCAGGGGTTGGCACCCTGTTCCCATCAAAGAGCCATTATTACCCATTTCCCACAGTAAAGAAAACACCGCAGCAGCCGCAGCGTTGTGGGCGGGGCCTACCCTCAGACAGCAGAGAGCTGCTCACAACAGATGACAGCAGCTGGTACAGGTCGCTCGCATGGGCGTCGCACCCGTGGGGGATTCAACACCCACACTTTTCCAGCTGTTTTGCTCACCTCCACACCAGTCTGGTTTCTTTACGTCGCACTCGCTCTGTTTGCCTCATCTCCTTCTTCACCTCCCGCTTCTGACAGCCGATGTCGGGTTTCCAGGAGAGCAGGAGAGGGAGGGAGGGAAGAGCTCGACTGAATTAATAATTTTACATCCTGACATTAGCTGTACAAAGTCTGAGTTTGATAAAGTGAAGAAAAACAATCTGCAGAGGTTTATAACAGGCACGGCGCCAGGTTTTCATTTTTGGGTGGGCCACGGTAATTTTGGGCGGACCTTAATAAGCAGTGACTTAAGTGAAGCAGACAGGTCGCGTTGGAAAATTTTGTTTAAAAAGACGTCATAAATGTTTCCCCCGTCATTCTTATTTCTAAAATATGAAGTAAAAACTCCCAGTTTAATTTTCATTCATTTGTCATTATAGCCAAGCGGCGTGCAGCAGTGGCAGTTGCCGAGGCAAAATTTCGGTTTGGTGAGGCCATGGAGAGGCTATCGATCGGCTCCAAAGAGGTTCTGGCAAACTGTCCGTCGCCTCAGGAAAGGGAGGCAGCATCTCGCTCACACTGTTTACAGTGAGGATGGGGAGCTGCTGAGGTCAACTGGGGCTTTAGTCGTATGGTGGAAGGAATACACTGAGGAGCTCCTCAATCCCACCTTCACACATTCCGAGGAGGAACCAGAGCCAGGAGATCTGGGGATGGACTGTCCAATCTCAGGGGCAGAAGTTGCTGAGGTAGTCAAACAACTACACAGCGGCGGAGCACCGGGGGCAGATGAGATTCGTCCTGGGTATCTCAAGGCTCTGGATGCTGTAGGGTTGTTGTGGTTGACACGTCTCTGAACATTGGGTGGTCATTGGGGGCACTTCATGTGGAGTAGCAGACCGGGGTGGTGGTCCCCATCTTTAAGAAGGGTGACCTGAGGGTGTGTTCCAACTATAGGGGGATCACACTCCTCAGCCTCCCTGGAAAGGTCTACTCCAAGGTACTGGAGAAGAGGGTCCGATCGATAGTTGAATTTCAGATTGAGGAGGAGCAATGAGGTTTTCGTCCTAGCCGTGGAACTGTGGACCAGCTCTATACCCTTGCAAGGGTGATGGAGGGGGCATTGGAGTTTGCCCAACCAATCCATGTGTGTTTTGTGGATTTGGAGAAGGCTTATGACCGTGTCCCCAGGGGCACCCTGTAGGGGACGCTCCAGGCGTATGGGGTAGGTGGCTTTCTGTTAAGGGCCATTCAGTCCCTTTACCAGAGGAGCGTGAGTTTGGTCTGCAAAGCTGATAGTAAGTCGGACTGTTCCCAGTGAGGGTTGGACTCCGCCAGGGCTGCCCTTTGTCACCGGGTCTGTTCATTACCTTTATGGACAGAATTTCTAGGCGCAGCCGTGGTGTGGAGTGTGTCGAGTGTGGTGGCAGGAGAATCTCGTCTCTGCTTTTGCGGATGATGTGATCCTAGCGTCATCCAGCTCTGACCTTCAGCTCTTGCTGGGTAGGTTCGCGGCCGAGTGTGAAGCGGCTGGGATGAGGATAAGCACCTCCAAATCTGAGACCATGGTTCTCAACCGGAAAAGGGTGGCTTGCCAACTCCGGGTCGGGAGAGAGGTCCTACCTCAAGTGGAGGAGTTTAAGTATCTTGGGGTCTTGTTCACGAGTGAGGGTAGAAGGTATCGGGAAATTGACAGGCGGATTGGTTCGACATCTGCAGTGATACGGACGCTGAGCCGGTCTGTCGTGGTGAAGAGGGAACTTAGCCAGAAAGCCAGGCTCTCGATTTACCGGTAGATCTACGTCCCAAACCTCACCTATGGTCATGAGCTTTGGGTAATGACCGAAAGAACAAGATCGCGGATACAAGCGGCCGAAATGAGTTTCCTCCGTAGGGTGGCTGGGCTAAGCCTTAAAGATAGGGTGAGGAGCTCGGACATTAGGGAGGGACTCGGAGTAGAACCGCTGCTCCTCCGGATCGAAAGGAGTCAGTTGAGGTTGTTTGGGCATCTGGTCAGGATGCCTCCTGCATGCCTCCCTGGGGAGGAGTTTCAGGCATGTCCTGCTGGCAGAAGGCCCCCGGGTCGACCCAGGACACGTTGGAGAGGTTACATCTCCGGGAACGCCTTGGGGTCCTGCCGGAGGAGCTGGTGGAGGTGGCCGGGGAGAGGACAGTCTGGAGCTCCCTAGTTGGGATGCTGCCCCTGCGACCTGGACCCAGATAAGCGGAGGAAGACGACGATGACGAGCCCAGCTGTGAGAATTGGCTCTATTAAAAGAGCCGGAGTTCACATCACTAATCTCCTGGCATTTTAAGTTGAACTTATTTTCTGACAAAGATACAGTCAGGTCCAGTGGCGGCTGGCCAGTAGAGGGCGATAGGGCGCCACCCTCCCAGTTTTTCCCAGTGTTTTTAATTTTTATTTAAAAAAAAAAATAAATAAAATTAACAATAATCACATATTCTAAGTTAATTGTGTGTTTTGTAACAAAAACAAATCATATATATATATTGGTCTCTGCCGAGCGGTGGAGGCGACAGAAAGGCTGTGGGCTGTGTTTCAATCGCCCAAACAGTACGGCACCAGCCGGCCAATTGCTGACAAGAAAATCAAACGGTAGGAATGGGAATGTATCCAATCAGCGTTGACGTTGTTTCAGAAGCATGATGGGCGATAGAGCTACCGCCAAAGGCTTTCGTTGGTGTTCGGTAGAACTCGGCAGAGTCTCGACTACTCCAGCAGGTTTTTGGTCATGACGCAGATGTAATAGACCAGTGAGCCTACAACCAGCATGGATACCGGTTCTCAGCAGCCACTGAATTCAGTTTGGTCTCTTCTCCAGTATCCGTTCGAGAGGAGAACTATGGTGGAAAAACTTAATGTCAAAGAGCTTGGACCAGATCAGCCCGACGTTAAGATAAGCCAGCAGGACAAGGAGAAGGGTAAACTGTACACACAAGGCTTCTCCCGAAATTGGTACACCAGGAAGGCTTGGCTAGCTGGATGCAATCACGCTAATGCGTTATTTTGCTTTCCGTGTTTTTTATTCAAAACGGCTGGGACATATAAGGCATGGATTGAGTCAGGAGTTACAGACAAGAAACATTTTTCTGAGAAGGTGAAGAAACACGAGTCATCCTGGGCACACATGGACAACACGGTGAAGCTAGCCATGCTAGGCAGAGCTAACGTTGCCATGCAGCTCGACGAGGGAAACGGAAGAAACGGAGGACGTTGGCCAGGGAGAACAACAGCAGCTGGGTGCAGAGGTAAGCTGTGCATTACATTTCTGTGAACAAGACAATCAGAAATCCTTGGTTGTCCCACAAACAGGGACATTTGTTTAATACCATGTACATTGTTTAATGTGCAATAACTGTAAAAACTCATTTCAACACACATACTTATTATACATATTTAATCATGTAAATGTGTATTTCATGTAAATTTGTACATACATCAGTCTGATTCCATTTTACTTGTTACACTTCTGCTGCAGCAAACAAATTTCCCAGGTTTTGGGACAATAAAACATTTCTGATTCTCAATTAGATGTTTTTACTTCAAATGTAAAAACATCTGATTGAGAATCAGAAATGTTCTATTTTCCCAAAAACTGGGAAATATGACATTTGTAAGAGGATACTGATGACATTATTTCCTATGAAAAAGTTTCCTATGTACTTATCTGTTGTTTTTTTATTTATCTACTTTAAAGAGGATTAAGACTTTCCTGAGGAACACCGTGACACAGGATGGGCTGAATGCTCTTGCCATGCTCTCCATGGAAAACAAGCTTGTCACAAACATTCCTGACTTCAATAAAGAGGGCATTGAGAGCTTTGCCACTCAGAAGGACAGAAGGGCAAAATTTCTGTACAAATGAGGTATCACACACACACAAATGCATCCACTTGATCTTTGTATAAAGTTGACCGTAGCACAACACCCCAGAAATATTTTAACAGTGTAAATTTCTGGCATTTTGTCTAAGTAGTGTTTACTACCATTACTGTAACAGTGACCTGCTCATAATTTTTCGTGTTCACTCAAATGTTGAAATTAAACAAAATGTTTTTGTTACTTGCCTCTTGCATTGCCTATTTACCATTTATGGTCATGTTATTTTATGTGCAATTTAATATAGTATTTTTCAACCTTGGTCTGCAAGGTTAGTCAGACACACCTGGATTAATCAGTTTGTCCAATGATGTAAGACAGGAAATAAAAGAGCTGTGCTTAATTCAGGAAATAGTGGATTTGTGCACAAAGCTCAGAAAGCACAAGTTTGTTTAAAAATAAAAAATAGCACAGCCCCACCAAAAATATTTTTCACCAGCCGCCACTGGTCAGGTCCATAAATATTGGGACATCAACACAATGGTAACATTTTTGGCTCTTTACACCACCACAATGGATATCAAATGAAACGAACAAGGTGTGCATTAAAGGCAGACTGTCAGCTTTTATTTGAGGGTATTTACATCCAAATCAGGTGAACGGTGTAGGAATTACAACACTTAGCATATGTGCCTCCGACTTGTTAAGGGACCAAAAGTAATGGGACAATTGGCTTCTCAGCTGTTCCATGGCCAGTTGTGTTATTCCCTCATTATCCCTATTACAATGAGCAGATAAAAGGTCTAGAGTTCATTTCAAGTGTGCTATTTGTATTTGGAATCTGTTGCTGTCAACTGACAAGACATGTTTGAATAGTGCAGAGGTTTTTGACCCTAATAACCATACATTGGTAAGGTCTTACTCAAACACAAAAATACTACTTGTTTGCAATCATTTATGTATGCACTGCCCCCTATTGCCAGGGAAAATACATACAGTCACTTTAAATTTGTCCACAGAGCTCACAAACAGGTTTCTATCCTGTGTGGACACTCATGTGCTTGAATAAATTTCTCTTTTGTCCATATCTTTCTCCACAGAACTCACAAGCAAATGGTTTATGTCCTGTGTGGACTCTCATGTGAGTGTTTAAATTAGACTTTTGGGTAAATCTTTTTCCACAGAGCTCACAGGCAAATGGTTTATGTCCTGTGTGGACTCTCACGTGAGTGTTTAAATTAGACTTTTGGGTAAATCTTTTTCCACAGAGCTCACAGGCAAAAGGCTTCTGTCCTGTGTGGACTCTCATGTGACGGTTGAAAGTTGACTTATGTTTAAATTTTTGTCCACAGTGCTCACAGATTAAAGGCTTCTGTACTGTGTGGACTCTCAAGTGAGCGTTTAAATCCAACTTGTGTTCAAATCTTTCTCCACAGAACTCACAAGCAAATGGTTTATGTCCTGTGTGGACTCTCATGTGAGTGTTTAAATTCGACTTTTGGGTAAATCTTTTTCCACAGAACTCACAAGCAAATGGTTTATGTCCTGTGTGGACTCTCATGTGAGTGTTTAAATTCAACTTTTGGGTAAATATTTTCCCACAGAGCTTACAGGCAAAAGGCTTCTGTCCTGTGTGGACTCTCATGTGACGGTTTAAAGCTGACTTATGTTTAAATCTTTGTCCACAGAGCTCACAGATTAAAGGCTTCTGTACTGTGTGGACTCTCATGTGAGCGTTTAAATCCAACTTGTGTTCAAATCTTTCTCCACAGAACTCACAAGCAAAAGGTCTAAGTCCTGTGTGGACTCTCATGTGAGCATTTAAATTAGACTTTTGGGTAAATTTTTTTCCACAGAGCTCACAGACAAAAGGCTTCTGACCTGTGTGGACTCTCATGTGACAGTTGAAAGTTGACTTATGTTTAAATCTTTGTCCGCAGAGCTCACAGACAAATGGTTTATGTCCTGTGTGGACTCTCATGTGATCGTTTAAATTCGACTTATGGGTAAATCTTTTTCCACAGAGCTCACAGACAAAAGGCTTCTGACCTGTGTGGACTCTCATGTGACAGTTGAAAGTTGACTTATGTTTAAATCTTTGTCCACAGAGCTCACAGACAAATGGTTTATGTCCTGTGTGGACTCTTATGTGAGTGTTTAAATTTGCCTTTTGGGTAAATCTTTTTCCACAGAGCTCACAGACAAATGGTTTATTTCCTGTGTGGACTCTCGTGTGATCGTTTAAATTCGACTTATGTTTAAATGTTTGTCCACAGAGCTCACAGACAAAAGGTTTATGTCCTGTGTGGACTTTCATGTGATTGAATAAATTTTTCTTTTGTCCATATCTTTCTCCACAGAACTCACAAGCAAATGGTTTCTGTCCTGTGTGGATTCTCTGGTGTCTGTTAAAACTTGATTTTGTACTAAATATTTTTCCACAGTCACCACAACTAAATGATTTTAGTTCTTTCTGGACTTCCCTATATGAGTCTACAGGTTGCTTAAGTCCAACCGATTTCTTATTACCCAAAGAGATGGAAGACCTGATTGCTGAATGACTGGTTACTCTCACGTGTTTCTGGAGAGACTGCTTGTCATGAAATCGTTCACCGCACTCAAGGCAGCTAAAGGATATGTTGACAGTCTTAACATCTGACTCAGAAGACCTTTTCTCATTCCAGTCATGGCCTTCGCCTCCAGTTTCAGACCCAGAGTCTGACATCCCAGAGTCTAGATTCATATCATCATCTCCACTAACTTCAGTCTCTGAAGAATCAGATGTTTGTTCATGAGGGTTCAGATCTGGGTTCCTGCTAGTTCCTGCTCCTCCACCAGTTTCCGCTGTCTTCTGGTCAGAAGAGCTGCTGGTTGGAACATCTTTGTCTTCTATTTGCTGCTGATGAAGCTGTGAGACCACAGGTTTCTCTTCATCATCCTCACTCTTTATAGAAACAGCACTGAATTGAAACCAGGCAGAATCAGTCCCCTCCTTCAAACAGAGATGCTCTCCCGTAAGACTGGTCCAGAGTTCCTCCTTTTCCTCCTTTATGTGGAGATGTTGTGGGTCCTGCTGTTCCACACCAGCACTCTGTTCTTCAGGATCTTCTTTAACCTGCACCATCTGTTGAACACCTGTAGGAAACAGAAACACATAACGTGAATTACCGACTACTGTAACTTTAAATTCACACATATGAGAGTTGTGTTATTACATGGGTCTCCAGCATGTTGGTTGTGAGCTACTGGTAGCTCTTGAAAGTCGCTGGCCTGGAAGCAGCCAGTGAGCTGCCCAACCTGACTTGTAATTAACAAGGGACGGATTTCTAATTTGATGGCAAGCCTTCCCCGGTTCTCGTAATATCTCATGTAAAATTAGCATTTTGTGGAAGTAAAATAAAATCTGATTATTGCACAAATCTTTCAGCAAACACGTTCTACTGGAAATATGTGGAATGGATTAATTGCTCAGGTTGCAGCGCGGATCCCCGTTTCTGATATCAGCGGCTGCAGCTGCAGGTGCTTCTAAAGACGAGGTGACGTCAGTCATACAGACCTGGTTTCAGAAAAACATCCTCAATAAAATGTTCTGGGCGACTGTAAAGTCCTATCTGCGTAAATATGTTGTTGAAGCAAATTAAATGCCCTTCTCTTAATAACACGATTAACAGGCTTCCTGTTGAGGGGAGACTAGTCTCAGGCTTGTTGATAAAATAAATCAAGCCTGAGATAGTCTCCCTCTGTGTAAACCTTTGACCACCGGCCATTCCACTCCTGCACACAGGCCTGAGCTCAGCTCCTCTTGGTGTGTGTGTAAACCTTTGACCCGCAGCCCACACTGGTCCCCACTCTCTGCACTTCCGCCCGACTCTGGGTGTGTGTGTGGCGTAGCGCTGTTCTGTGGTATCCTGTCATGTATCGGTCCAAGATAGTGTGTTTATATTGTGTTATTTGTATATAAGAGACTTTTTAACACAGACAAATTTGTCTCTCCTTCTCCTCCACCTCTTCATGCACTTGCCGCCTCTAAACCCACGTTTCCTGTCATTTCCATCGACAAATAAAACGCTTGCTGCGCATCTTTTCACTCCTTCAGTCACGGGGAGATAAACGTTCATATTTTAGAGTTTTTTCGCGAGGTATTCTTCAAGCTTCTCCATGTCTGCCCCTTGTATCCTTGGCTCTCTTTATGTTTTTAAGGGCGCAATGGCGGCACTGTAGACAACAGCGGCGTCCTGACCAATCACAAGCTTGCGTTGTCCGTCTCGACTGACGGATGTTTAGAAAAGATAGCTCGACTCTGTCCATCCTTGCGGAGCTCTCCGGCAGCCCCGCAAGGACGTTGCGCTTCTCCGCACTGGCGCAGATGGAGATGCATGAATCAGGCTTAAAAAGGACTGCATGTCTGAAAGACGAACAGGAAAAGAAGATGAGGCCATACGTGTGAGAAGGGGGGACAGGGAACCACAACAGTTCACACTTCAGAAGAATGGGTCTGCAGAAAGGCCTGAAGGCTGCAAAAATAAAGATGTGACTTTTCCTCTCAACAGGTGTTAAAGATAGTGGCCAGACTGAGCATTAAAGCATGTTCCAGAACTGCACTGCTCTGGGTGGCTGCATGTTGGAGTAGCTCTGTTGACTATATCTTGGAGGATTTTTACTGCTATTTTTTCAATTTTTGAGCATTTGTTATGATGCGTAACCATGGCAACAAGCTGGTTTACAATCGGGAGTAGCTGATTAACATTGGGAAGGCTGAAATAATACCTCAACTGAAGCCACAAATCCCAAATGAGCTAAAACGCAAGAAGCGTGGGTGCAGAGCGGGAGCAAAACGGTGACAGAGAAAGAGGAAATTCAAACCATCTCTTCCATCGATCATAATGGGCAATGTGAGATCACTGGCCAACAAGATGGATGAACTCCAAGCCCTTTCAAGGACTCAGCCAGAGTATCGGCAGTGTAGTGTTATGTGTTTCACTGAGACATGGCTTCAGGACCATATCCCTGATTCCAGCATCTCTCTGCCAGGATTCCTGACTGTACGAGCAGACAGAGATCTGAAGAGGAGCGGGAAAAGTAAAGGAGGTGGAGTGGCAGTGCTTGTCAACAACAGATGGTGCCATCCATGTCATGTTTCAGTGAAATGTTGTCTCTACAGCCCAGATGTTGTACTCTTGGCAGTAAGTTGTCACCCATATTATTTGCCAAGAGTTCACCAGTTTTGTCTTGGCAACCGTTTATATTACACCTTCAGCCATTGCTGAAAATGCATGTAATGCCGCCATCAGTTCTGTTGTCGCTAAGGTACAAACCCAGCACCCCAATGCATTTGTGGCTGTATCTGGTGATTTTAATCATGCCTCGCTCTCTGCTATACTTCCAACATTTCAACAGTTTGTCAGCTGCTCCACCAGAGAAAACAAGACATTGGATTTGTGTTATGCAAATGTAAACAATGCACACATGTCCAAAACAAGACCTTCTCTGGGACAATCAGATCACAATCTTGTTTTATTCTGCTCAGAATACAAACCACTTGTTCAGAGGCAACCTGTGACAAGAAGAACTGTGAGAAAATGGTCACAGGATGCTGAAGAAGCCCTGCAGAGTTGTTTTGAGACCACAGATTGGATGACTCTGCCAAGGATATGAAGAGGACATCAATGCCATGACTGGATGTGTCACTGACTATATAAACTTCTGTGTGGACAACATACACCCACCAGAACAGTGAGATGCTTCACTAATAAGTGTGTGTGTGTGTGTGTGCCTGCTCTGTCTTCTCGATCCCCAGTGAGTCGTGGAGGATGGCTAATTATACTGAGTCAGGATTCTCTGGAGGTTTCTTCCTGTTACAAGGGAGTTTTCCTCTCCACTGTCGCTTTATGCTTGCTTAGTATGAGGATTGCTGTAAAGTCACTGACACTAGTCAGTGACTTGATGCAATTTGCTGGGTTCCTTATATAGGAAACATTATTTCTGATTGGCTTAATGAACTGACCTGAATTTTCTAATTCTAATTTCCTCTATTTATTATGCGAAGTGCTCTCTTGTCGTGATTTGGCGCTATACAAATAAAATTGAATTGAATTAATAACAAACCCTAAATCACCAGTGAACTGAAGAATCTAAATGAGAAAAAAAAGAGCCTTCAAGAAGGAGACAGGGAATTATTGAGGAGTATACAGAAGCAAATGAAGATCAAGATCAGAGACATCAAGGAGGCATACAGGAAGAAGCTGGAGAACAAACCACAGAGGAACAATATCAGAGATGTCTGGTCAGGGATGAAGAAGATCACAGGCTTCAGGCAGAGGAAGGATTGGACAGATGGCAGCCTGGACACAGCCAATGAACTGAACAAGTTCTTCAATAGGTTCAGTTCAGGAACAAACCCAGCATCCTCCTCGCCTGTCCCCAGCCAATCAGATATCCCATCCTGCTTTGATCCAACATTTTCCTGTCACACGCCAGATCTTTTGTCCTCTAATGCAGTCATGGACTCTTCTGGCTCTATAAATCTGTCTTCAACCAAGTCAGGAGATGCTGCTGCCCCATTTACCTCCCCCTCCCACCTATCTGTCTCTAGAAGTCAGGTGAAGAGGCAGCTGGAGAGACGGAATAGGAACAAGGCTGCAGGTCCAGATGGTGTCAGCCCCAGTGTACTGAAGGCCTGTGCAGAGCAGATCTGTGGGATTCTGCAGCACCTCTTCAACCTCAGCCTGGCCCAGGAGAAGGTTCCAGTCCTGTGGAAGACATCCTGCCTTGTTCCAGTTCCAAATAAAACTCCCCCATCCGTCAATGACGACTACAGACCGGTTGCCCTGACATCCCACTTCATGAAGGTCCTGGAGAGACTCCTAATGGTCCACCTGAATAAGCAAACAAGAACGTATCAGGAACTGCTGCAGTTTGCTTATCGCCATGGAGTTGGAGTTGAAGATGCCATCATCCAGCTGCTTCAACCAATCCAGTCATCTGGACAAATCAGGCAGCACTGTCAGGGTCATGTTCTTTGATTTCTCCAGTGCATTTAACACAATCCAGCCTGATGTACTTTGCCAGAAACTCCAGAAAACACAGGTGGGGGCCTCAACTATCGCCTGGATTAAAGACTACCTGACAAACAGAGCACAATTTGTGAGGCTGAGGAACTGCACATCAAACCAGGCGATCAGTAACATTGGAGCACATTGGAGCACCACAGGGCACTGTACTCTCACCATTTCTTTTCACCCTGTACACCTCAGACTTCCAGTACAAATCAGAGACCTGTCATCTACAGAAATTCTCAGATGACTCTGCAGTTGTCAGGTATATCAGAGATGGACAGGAAGCTGAGTACAGAGAGCTGGTGGAGAGCTTTGTGGCATGGTGTGGAAACAATCATCTGACCTTGAATGTGAACAACACTAAGGAGATGATTTTAGACTTCAGAAGAAACAGGGTGGAGTCAAACACTGTTTCCATCATGGGAGAAGAAGTGGAGGAGGTTGAAGAATACAAATACCTTGGAGGTCACCTGGACAACAGACTGGACTGGAGAAAGAATAGCGAAACCGCTTACAAGAAGGGACACAGCAGACTGCACTTCTTGAGGACGCTTAGGTCCTTCAATGTCTGTAGCAAGATGCTGCAGATCTTCTACAAGTCTGTTTTTGAGAGTGTAATCTCTTCAGCCATCATCTGTTGGGGTAGTAGCATCAGAAGCAGGGACCTGATAGGGGGAACTCCAAGTACCAGAGATCCAGGCGCTGCCCCAGAACACAGGAACCCCAAGGGGACTGCAACCAGAAAGGCCCCCCGCCCCCCTCGAGAGGCGCAGAGGATCGCCCCGGGGGGCCACAACCATCAGCCGGCAGAGTCCCGGGAGATATCAGCGGCAAGCCCACAGGCCTGCCAGCCGCCTCCCACCCCCTAGCCGGCCGAGCCTGGTACCCAGCGACCCGGGACCCAGGGGCGACCACCCACGCCGGGGACCCAGCAGAGCCCAGGGACCCAGACCCCACCAGGCAGCCACCGGGATTGACCAGGCAGGCACCAAAGATCTTAAAACCCCTGACCCGGGAGCCACGAACACTCAGGGAGACCAAGGCACCACACCCCACACCAGGTGTGGCAGGGGGAGGGGAGACTAGGATCTATGTCATCAAAGGAGGTCCCAGGAGAGGGGAGGAGTCACCTGACATATACAGTCATACACAAACACAGTCATACACTCCCTCCCTCATGCTCACACATACACATACAACCAAAGACTTACAAAAATGCACGCCGGACACCCACTCATGCTCCCCATACACACCCTATTCACTCTGGTCCCGGTACTGCTGCACACTGGGTACAACCATCACCGGTTACCAGAGTTTGACCCTTTCTGCTGGGGTGCTGATGAGCAGGCTACCCCGCCCAACGCCGAGCACAGCAACCCACCACCCCAGACCCCAACCAGATGGCCAGATCTCCCTCCTAGTCTCCAGCCCCAGGAAGCCAAGCAACAACAGAGGTGTGCTAAGACCCCTAGTCTCCCTCCGCCTGCTCCATTATAGTGTTGTGTGTTGATGAGGTGTATTCCATGGCTGTGGTGAGCGGACAGTGCAGGCATTGTCTGGCCTATGCCAGCGGATGCCACAGCACCACCCCACTTGCACCCACAGCCCTCGGTGTCTAAGTGCAGTTTAAAATTGGAAGTGGGCACCGGCACTCGGGAGGAGGCTGAGAAATCCCCCTGCCAAATGCAGTTGAACGTGCTCACTCCCAAGGCCCTAAGTGTGTGTTTGCGTGGAATGTCGTTGGTGGAAGTGTATAAGGTGCAAATAAAATTGGGGGGCAGGTTGCCACAGGAATGCGGAAATGGGGTCCATACCCACACTCCCTGACTTGTCCACCCCCCAAGGTCCTATGTGTATGTTTGTGTGATGATGTGAGGGAGCAGGAGGAGAGAAATATGCGGGGATGGGGAGGAACGGCTGGTTGGGCTTAGCCCTCCAGGGAGCCAGCTCCCACACTGGCCCCAATAGGCACCTCTGTTGTCAAATTGCCACCAAGGGCACGGAGACCACAGCCCATCCTGCCAGGGCCCAAAGCAGCAGCATTACAGAGCCACACGGAGTACGAGGGCACCAACCCAGCCCCATCCCAGCAGAAAATCTATGCCCATCCCTGCATTTGCACAACTTCCAGAATATATAAGACATAGGACATCCAGGTAAGGTTGGGTACTCTCCCTCCTGGACCTCCCACTCCCCTGTGATGGAACAGCAGAGGAGCCAAGGTCTACATGAGGTCCCTGAACCCGGGCCAGGCACTGCTGCATGTTCCTGCCACTGTAATAAAAGCAACTTATGTTTTTTGGGATGAAAAGGTATTTTAAGTTGTTTAAACTTAAAATCCATGTTTCAGGAATTAAGTGCAATAAATTAAGTCAGCCCAACAAACCAAATTAGTTATGTGCTTCAACAATATTAAGTGAGTCGTATGAACTTACATATTTAAGTTGGACTTCATAATATCGTGCCCAAGTTCTGCTAACAACCATGCTTTTGTTGTGAAATGCGGGAAAGTCAACTTTTGGAGTTGGAGTAGTCAGTCTCATTCTGAGTGTGGTCGGAGGCAAAGGACGCTGCATAGGTAAGTTTCCCCCTTTTTCCTGGGTTCAAATTATGTTAAAAATAAATTATGAATATGTTTTGTGCTATATAAAGGTAGCGTACACACATAAACAACTTTTACAGGTGATTTTTTTTAAGGTAAGGCTGTCGACGGTTGAGATTTATGCTATAGGCTATATTCTGCAATTAGCCTGTACTTAAAAAACATGGACCTCTGTAACTAACTGTTTCATTTCGTACTTGTTTATAGTTTGATATGATATCTGCTATACCACTAATAATATTTCAATTTCTTTCGATAAACAAGCTAAATATTGAGAGAATAATTGCTAACTCACATTGCTAATGGCTAATGTAGCAACAGCAGCTAGCAATTAGTGTCAAATGTGCGTCGACTTCAAAACTACAAAATTATGCTTTAATACACTTTATACCCATAGACGGTGGAGCAGATTTAGCACCGGGACGGAGCAGTGGGACTGGGGGCAGACAACACGGAGGAGCGGGACGGAGGAGCAAACACCGATAGACGGCGGAGGAAATACACAGAGCAACGGGACGTAGAAGAAGGACGTGGAGGAGCCAGCCCAAACACGAAGGAGCCAGTCCAAACACTGGCAAACAGTGCACCAACGCAGAGCTGTGGGTCCAAAGACTTTAACTCTGGACCAGGCTGCTTAGAGGTGAGTTTCTGTTCTTAATAATTTTTTCTTTTCTGTTCTTTTTTTACATTTTGTCATATAACTTCATCAAGTGTCTGCAAGAAATATATGATATGGCCCACCTCTAGATGAAATTAATTTATTTTTTACATTAATTATAAATATATAATTTAAAAGTGCCTGTGGGACATTTGATACACCTCTAGCTCTCAACTGTGTGTGTCTGTGTGTGTGTGTGTGTGTGTGTGTGTGTGTGTGTGTGTGTGTGTGTGTGTGTGTGTGTGTGTGTGTGTGTGTGTGTGTGTGTGTCAGCAGACAGCTGTACTAGTGTTTCTAAAGCTCAGGCTGGTAGAGAATAGCCACTAAAGTTAAAGTTTGACAAGAATCAATACATTTTTAAGCATTTAATCTACTGATTTTTGTATATAATTTCTCAAGAAAGCTTGAAGTGAGTTAACTTGTAAATAATTTACAGGAGGAAAAATATAGAGATGTATATCGTATATCGGAATTCAGCTAAAAGATATTGAGATATCAGTTTTGGTCCATATTGCCCAGCCCTACAATAAAGCATTAACATTGTTTTCCATCTCTTCTTAAAAGGATACTGACCCAGAGGAGGAGCAGACTAGAGGTCTCTCCGTGGGTATCCTCACTGTGCTGGAGGATGACTGTACTTCACCTGCTGTAAATGATGAACCTTGCTGTGGTTGCTGAAGAAACCATCATCCTTCAGGATCTCCCAGATCTGCCAACGGCTTTTGGCTTTGTCTTTGGGTTGATCTATGTCAAACCTTCAATACCCAAAAGATCTCAGGTACACCTTTGAAACGGTTCAGAAAATCTTTATGGGACAGATCTCTCGGTAAGGGTAAGATCCCTCAAAAACAGGCTTTTTCTATGAATCCTATATGGTAGCTGTTGGATGTACCTTACCTTTTTTTTCTTTAATGTCTTGCAGTTTTTCAGTTTTGGGCTTACTTAAATTTAGAGTTCAAGTCATTGTTTCCACTGTTGCCACTTTAATAAAAAGACAGATTTATACAGAAAAAAAATTAAATAAATTTTTATTTGTAATGCTATGCTAGATATTTTTATGCTTTACTGGAGTTTCTCTTAAAACGTGTGATACAAGGTCAGCATTTTGTTTGTTCCTGTTCAGCCAGTTATTCTGGAGTTGGGCTACTCAACCAGATAGACGCCAGGGTCTTGTAATTGTACATTAAAGTGCATAAGTTTAAAATAATTTAGTCTTACAGCTGGTCTCACGGCTAGATGTGTTGGGCTTCCTACAGTTGTAGTTCAGCTTTTTCAGCTGTTCTGTATCAAACAGATCTTAATGTTTTAATACCAATATTGTCTGTCAAGATAAGTTTTATGCTCCATAGCTTAACTTGTGTAGTGTTTTACTAAGCATTCTCAGTTTTTGGGAAGTGTTACACATGGTGTTTAACATGATGTGACTAAAGTTCAAAATAAAAACACTTGTCATCGGCATCTGAATTTGCTTTTGTTTTAGAATTTGCTGTTTAAACACATCCGTTACATTATTAAGTGTGGTCTGTTATCAAAAATGACATTTTCCTACTGTTTAATAACAGAGTTGGTGTATGCAATATATACATGAGGTGGTAATTCAACTTTTTGCTGTGAAATGTGTTAAAAGTTGCAGCAAGTTGTAGTGGAGTAAGCTAAGGTCACAATTAAAAGTTGTTGAAATGTAAAATGTTATGCCTCAATAGCTTAGATGAGTTTGGAAATGTCAAAAATAATAGCTGGGGTAATGTTAAATTTTAAGTAAGTGGAACTTTTAAATTGAGGTATAAATTAGGATTCACAGTCAGTACTATTTAAAATTTTAAGTTTTTACAACTTAAAATTGGGTAACAAAAACTTGAGATTCAAAGTTGCTACAACATACACTTGAGTTAGATAAACTCAGGTTTCATACTTATTACAGTTTAAAATTTTGAGTCTTTCCAACTTATAACTAAGTTAGCAAAACTTAGAATTGAGAGTTTGTCAAAATCCAATGCATAACTTAGAATATTAAGTTGATGCGCCAAACTTAAAATTTTCCTGAAGTTTGTTGCCTCAAAATTTTGAGTTTTCCCAACTTTTTTTTTACAGTGTGCAGCAGCATACATGTCAGGACCCGACACCCAAGGCCCCGCCCAGATCCCCACACGGGGCCGGCCACCCCCACACCCCGGGCCCCCAGGCCCCCACCCAGGGGCAATGCAGCCGCCAGGCAGTGACCCATGGCCGCCGCCAAGACCTCCAAGGGGCCCCACTCACGACCGCCAGCAGTCCACCCCCCGAGGCAACCCAAGCACCTCCAGAGGGGGGCAACGGCCCCCCAGTCCCAGACACCCCCAGTGAACCCACCTCCAGGGAACATCCGGATACTCCAAACTCAGACCCTCCACCCCCCCCACCCACATCATCCCGCAGGACAACATCAACGGTCCCCCATCATCGCTATGTGGGTGAACCGATCAAAGGAGCCTGGAGAGATTGATTTGAAGTGGAAGCAGAGGCTAAATCAAGTGCAGTAGGATCTAACAAAAGATTTCTATACTGGTTAATGCAGAGAGTTTTTCTATTTTTCCAATTCAAGAGGATAGTTTTCTTAGCAATGCATATGGCAGTCATAACCACGTGAACCAAAGATGTTTCAATCGGGACATCGTCCAGGTTTCCCAGTAAACAAAAGAGAGGGGGAAGTTGGGATATGACATTTCAGACATTTTGACAGATCCTCACATACTCTACCCCAAAATTCCTGGACAGGTGGGCAGGACCACAGTGCATGAATGTAATTGTCAGGAATGTTGTTTGTGCAGTGTGTACAGTTGTCAGACTACACAAACCCCATCTTGAACATCCGATGACCTGTATAGTGTACTCTGTGTAGAATTTTGTACTGAATTAATTGTAAATTGGAGTGTCTGATCATTTTAAAAGTTTTTAAACAAGTTTGGGACCAGAAGTTCTGGTCAAAGCTGACTGATAGATCCACCTCCCATTTTTCAATAGGGATTGCAATTTTATCGTCTATTTTGGACAGTGTCTTATATACTTTAGACAGTAGTTTGGGGGGTTTGAGATTATAAAAGTCATATACCCTTGGTGGTGTTTGTAATTC